TAGGAGTGATAGAGGAAAGGGTGAGGAGAGGGATAGTGGATAGATCAAGGCAACTGGAGATGTCGATTGGCATTACATTTGAATAGTTGGAGATTATAGCTATCAGGGAAACAGGAATAAGGAAGGGAGTTCCACAGGCGAATTACTGCTTTTAAACTACAAGCTCACCACGATTTCCCGCGAACGTTAACATATAAACTGGTAGGACGTATATTTTCCATGAAATTTCTCGAACATTGCTATTATTTAATATATCTATATGTTAATGCTGTTTAATACAAACAGAGCATTTACTTAAATATTTGTATCTATAAAAGAATCGGTTTTAAACATGTATCAATATGGGGATTTCCTTTCTTCTTTCAATGATAATGTTATTAAGCTTATCAGACAATATGGAAGGAATTTACTCAAAATAGACAAAACTTGTCTATATTATTTAATGAAATATCAATCAATGAAAAATTGCTGCCCAAATACAAAAGTATATATATATATATATATTTACTAGGGAAAATACTGCCAGATTACTTGAGGATATAGTTGTTAAGACCTGTCACATGTTATTTTTGGACCATTTAGTTAGAAAATAGTACATTAATCGCAATCGATCTTCGAAAATTGTTGAGGAGAAATGCTTTGTTGACAGCTTTTGCTCAAACTACATTGAATGAACAACATGCATTTGAAGGAGAAGAAATTCAACAAAAACTTCTATTCAAAGAAATTCAACAAAGAATGAGCAATGGTTAACTAGACGTGGAATATATATATATATATATATATATATATATATATATATATATATATATTTATATTCTTTTTGTATTTGGGCAGCAGTGCCTTTATACAAGTTTCATTAAAAAACGACTGACAACGTACTATGGTTAAGTTTTTTATTTAATTTCAATTGGTTCGTATATTTTTCTACTTTTCGTAAATTAGGTAGGAATTGTCCAAATGTTTAGCTATTATCAAGGATGATTTTAATTTTAATTTTAACTGAATGTATGGATTGTTTTATGTATCTAGAGTAATATGAATGTTTTATATTCCAAACATGGTCAGCACATTAAGGCCGTGTTCATAGTTGATATTTTACACACACACTCACACACACACACACACACAAACACACACACACATATATATATATATATACATATATATATATATATATATATGTGTGTGTGTGTGTTTATACAGGGTACGATAGGGAAATTGTCATCATTTTATATTTTTAATTTTGCGCATGCGCGTTATTTGTTTCTGATATTGTCGACGGCACAATATAGTAATTTGGAAACGGCATGTTGTACTGCTTGGCATTCGCACCGGAATTTCCAATATGAATATTTCAGAGTGTTTGGTTGTCAGTCTGACGACAGAAGACTCAGAAAATGTTGTATGAGTCAGACGGTAACTCCGAATGTACGACAGCTCGGAGAACTCACTCTGGTCGTTCTGATAAGAAAATGACACCCGCATTTGATGAAGAGAGTCCCAGACTCAACACGAAGCCCTACATAAAGTGCCTTGAGGAGGTACTGCTTCGTATTCGCGCCGGAAACTCCAATACGAACATTGCAGAGCATTTGGTAGAGGATTTGGAAAGAGTTGGATGATATATCCAGTCAACATCATGGTGTTTAGAGTAATCACAAGTGATGGCGACGTTATGCCTCCATTCATCTTCCCATAGGGACTCAGACTCAACACAGAGGCCTACATCAAGTACATTGAGGAGATAGTGCTGCCTTGGGTTGAAGAGGGTGGCTGCTGGAAGACCCTATGTCTTGCAACAGGACTCTGCACCATGCCACACAAGCAGGAGAATTCAGTCATGACAGTCAGACAATTTCTGCAACCACATCACCCCTTACATCTGGCCAACTAACTCCCCAGACTGCATCTCCCTTGATCATTATGCGTGGGGTACATTTGAAGAAGAGACCAACAAAACTCCTTGTAAAACCAAAGATGAACTGAAGGAACTTAAATAAGGAGACCGTCCAGAAGAGTAGTGGGACATTTCGAAATTGTTTGGAGGCCATAGTTGAAGCCGATGGTGATTTTATTGAATAAATTTGCTCTTTAGTATTTTAAAATAATTTTGTGTAATTTTGGTAAATACATTTGTTCAAATGAGATGTCAGTATTATTTTCATTTTTATGTAATTTAGACAACAATTTATCTTTCGCACTGTGTAGATCAAAATGTCATTATAAGTATTTTTCACAAAAAGCATTAACTATTTGCCCAACATTTCAGAAATTCAAACATTTTCAAATGGGCCTCCAATTCTGGTCCTGAGCTGCACCACATGTAGGCCTTTAGTATAGAATGCCATGTCCTTATCCTTCCTATTTTACTACACTCTGTTCAAGGACATAACACACACTGGGTCTGAATGAGAGGGAATGCTAAGTGAGTTGCCCACAGTCAGGTAACTCATACTGGGGCTGTTTCCTGAATGAGAGGGAATACCAACCATGATGCCCAGGTTTTGGTTGTAGAGATTTGTCTACTTTCATCTAAGGGTTAATCTCTATAGCTTCTTATTGAAATGAAAAGTTAGAGACATAATTGAATATTATTTAAGTCTGATTTAATAAAGTCCTATATTAAAATCATTAGCAATGCATTTCCATTATACATATAATAGCCCTATTCTATCAGTAATGCTTGCATTCATTCCTGACCACTGACAATCCCTTTCTTCCTCATTTTCAATGCCTTCCTATAGTAAAATCATTAGCAATGCATTTCCATTATACATATAATAGCCCTATTCTATCAGTAATGCTTGCATTCATTCCTGACCACTGACAATCCCTTTCTTCCTGATTTTCAATGCATTCCTATAGTAAAATCATTAGCAATGCATTTATATTATATATATAATAGCCCGATCCTATCAGTAATGCTTGCATTCATTCCTGACCACTGACAATCCCTTTCTTTCTGATTTAATGAAGTCCTATATTAAAATCATTATCTATGTAAATATACAGCTAATGATTATACATACTGGGTGTGATGAGTAAATTGTTGCCATTTTATATTTTTAATTTTGTGTATATGCATTGTTTGTTTTGATTTTGTTGTTGCTTTTAGTATAGTAGAGTCAGTTGGGCACTGTGAGAAAAAAATGGTACCATGTTGCAATTCACTCTGCCAGAAATTTGGAAACAGCATGCTGTACTGCTTGGCATTTGCACCAGAACCTCCAATACAAACACTTCCAGAATGTCTAGGTGTCAATCTGGGGACAGTGTAGGGGATTCAGAAAGAATTGGATGAGTCTAATGGTGATTATGAAGGTATTTAGAGTGATCACTTGTGATGGCAACCATTATACCTCTATTCATCTTCCCATAGGGACTCAGACTCAACACAGAGGCCTACATCAAGTACATTGAGGAGATAGTGCTGCCTTGGGTTGAGGAGGTGGTGCTGCCCTGGGTCAAGAGGGTGGCTGCTGGAAGACCCTATGTCTTGCACCATGCCACACAAGCAGGAGAACCCAGTCATGCCTGTCAGACAATTTCTGCAACCACATCACCCCACTTACATCTACCCAACTAACTCCCCAGACTGCAACCCCCTTGATTTTTATGTGTCAGTTGCCGTTGAGTGATAGACCAACAAAACTCCTTGTATCACCAAAGATGAACTGAACGCAAGGATCATGGCAACATTCACCAACTTAAACAAGGAGACCATCCAGAAGAGTTGCAGGAGATTCCAAAGCCATCTGGAGGCCGTGGTTCAAGCCAATGGTGATTTTATTGAATAAATTTACACATTAGTATTTCAAGATATTTTTCGTGTAATTTTGATAAATATATTTGTTAAAATGAGATGTCAGTGCTATTTTTCATTTTTGTATTATTTAGACGGCAATTTACGATCAGTAAATTGTCGCAATTTTTAATTTCACTCATGTGCAATGTTTGATTTTGTCAACTGTACAGTATAGTAGGGTCAGTTGGGCACAATCTGTGAGAAAAAGAGCACTTTGACATAATTCACTCTGCTAGAACTTTAGAAACAGCATACTGTACTGCTTGGCATTCATGCCAGAAGCTCCAATACAAACATTTCAGTGTGTTTGGGTGACAATCTGAGGAGAGTACAGAGGATTCAGCAAGAGTTGAAGGAGTCAAATGATGATTACTAAGGTATGGCAGCTTGGATCATTCTGATAAGAACCCCTGAATTTGTTGGTGAAGGACTCAAAGTCAACACAGAAGCCTACATCAAGTACCTTGAGGAGGTAGTGCTACCCTGGATCAAGAGGGTGGTTGTTGGAAGACTCAATATCTGGCAACAGGACACTGCACATTGCCACACAAGCAAGAGAACCCAGTCATGGTTGTCAGAAAATTTCTGCAACCACATCACCCACTTACATCTACCCAACTAACTCCCAGACGGCAACCCCCTTGATTTTTATGTGAGGTGCAGTTGAGTGATAGACCAATAAAACCTCTTGTAACACCAAAGATGAACTGAAGGCAAGGATTATGGCAGCATTCCCCAACTTAAACAAGGAGATCATCCCGAAGAATTGCAGGAGGTTCCGTAGACGTTTTTTTGGTCACGGTTGAAGCCAATGGTGATTTTGTTGAATAAATTTACTCTTAAATATGTCGATTAAACTGATCAGTGATATTTTCATTTTTGCATCATTTAGCCGGCAATTTATCCAGCGTACCCTCTCTAGACAAAGTACCTACATTTTTTTTCTCAAAATTCCAACGTCAAAAATCACGCTCTGTACGATGTGCTTATGCTTAAAAATACTTTCAATGCAGAAATCGAAGAATGTCTCCTCGAAAAGGTTCAGCCATTTGATTTTTCCAGAAGACTTCATGCTAAATTTGCAATTCGTCTTTACTGCGACGAAGAATGGTAAAGAGATGAATGAATATTTGCAGGCAGATTTCGCATAACACTGACCATTGTTGCGAAATGAGATATAGGAAGCGGATGG